GTTACTTTTGCCAGTAAGGTGATCTTTCTGCACATAAGGCATCCCCCGCTTTCCCTTTCCCAGCTCTGCGAGGTGCAGCAGCAAGCTAGGGAGAACCAAAGCTCCCAAGAGCTGCTTAGTGCTTTGAAGGCTCAGCCACTTTTCTCCCAAAGCTGTTGAGCGATCAAAGGAAGCAGATGGAGGAGAATCACTCTGCAGTGACATGTAAATGGAACAAAATCCTGATAAGCCTCTGCCACCTCCCTGTGATTTTTCTGAGATATGTGCTGAGCAGAAAACTGTACAGTAGCAGGGCCAGCCATTTTGCATGAGAGACCAGCACACTCACTTACCACTTAGAAACAGCTGACACTTCTTGTGAGTACATCACGGAGCAACGCAATAAAATCTGCCTGGGAAAAGATTTCTTGACAGGAAAATCACAAAAGGAAGAACCATGAGAGTAGCCAAAAAAAAAAATACAATAGAATTTTTCTATTGATAAGTCTGGAAATGTTGAAATCAACCCCTCAGGTATGAAAAACCCAAGTCCATCATGCTTCCCATCTGCTTAATCCTGAGATTACAACTCAGGCATTGCAACTGCCCTCAGAGGAGCCTTTAGTACTGCACATCGAACTCATTCCTAGTACAGAGAATTTCAACATTCCCTACCCATGTCTGGACATGGTCAGAGGAGATTCAACCATCTGTGACTGGTCAAGCAGAAGTGTCCCAAGGGTAAGCACAAGAGTAAGATTTTGACCTTTCCAGTCAAAAAATGAAGGTAGCATGAGCTAAGGAAAGAAGAGGTGATGAAAGATTAAAGACTTTGATATAGAAACTCTATGAAGAACAGAGAGAGAGAAGAAAAAAAAAAAAGGGGGAAGGAAAAGCAAAGAGCATTGAAGATTATCTAAAATCAAATTTAAATAATATTATGTTCCATTTCCTTCCTGCCATAAGCTGCCAGCAAGATCACTTGTTTTCTTAGCTTTGATACGACTGTACTCCTCCCATATGCCATGGGGATAAGGACAGTATTACAATAGAAGCAATACCACAGGACAAAACAACTGCAACTGCACCCATCTCCTATTAAAACAGGCACATCAACAGTTTTCCCTTTCTGATGAAATAAAAAAAACCTGGTCCTGGAAAAGTGCTGAAGTGGGGGACAAGAGAGGAAAGACAGCTATTCACTTTGTAGCCTACAGCAATCATTTTATTTTGATGTGGTGTTTCTTCCACTCATTTGGAAGGAAAACCTCCAGCATGGCTAAGGAGCAGGGAGAGGTGTCATTGTACACCTTAGGACTCATGTCTCACTTCATGTGGCCTCAAGATTTGCAAATACAAGGGTGTTCCCCACCAGACAGTGTGGTGATCTCTATGGGGGCAGAAAAGGGACACCTCCATACCTGGGTGACATAAATATTGGATGCAATGAGCTCAGAGAAGAAATGCACCCACCTCATTTTTACAAGTAGATACATCTAACTATGGGACATAATTACTCATTACAGTGATATTCAATAGACAGCATTGCAATTCCCTATCTGGAAAATGGCAACGAATGTGGAAACCATTCTGTAGGGTTCCCATTCCCAGGGACCACCTTCACTTTGCTTTTGCTTTTCTAATTTTGCAATCTTTCATTTTTTATGTGAATGTCACACAGCAAAAACAGCCCTAGAAAACTGGGACTACTTATTAAAGCCTAATTAGCCAAAAAGAAATCACTCACGTCTGCTGCATCAGGCTCAAGAGCTTCTTGAGTTTCTTCTCCATACCTACAAACCTGACCGGTTTGTACTGTTCCTAGACAAGATTTGGATTCCTGTGTAGGAACAGAGATTACTTTCTCCCTCTGCTTGACCACAGGCTGAGGAAAAAGTGGCAACTGAAGGTCATTAAGGTAGTTGGAATCAAAAGGCCATTTTCTCATTAAAATAAAGTGTAATACTAAGAAATGAATTGCTACTGTGGTTCATGCATTAGTAGTTAGCTAATTGCTGCACCACTTGTCGTAACAGAGCATTGGATTGCCACAGTGCTGAGTGGTAGGTTACACATCAAGCAGCCTCCCAGACAGGGACTAATTGAAGAGCCAGGTGTTACACTTCACCAGCAAAAGGAGGCTGGCTCGAGATGAAGCAATTACATATGTAGTATTACATTGCTGAAAGAAGTAGTGCTTTATTTCTTGCATGTCAAAAGGCTACACCTTCTACATACTTTGTATATGAGTGCTGGAGCTGTTAACATATTGGTAAACTCTAAAATACGGTTCCTAAGTCAGAGTTCTGATTCTAGTGGATGAAGGTCACAAAACAGAAACAAATTTTTGAACAAAGCAAGACTTTTGCTTCCTCGGGTGTTCAACTAATTGTATGTGCCTGTCAAGAGAAACACTGCCTTCTTAAGATTCCCCAAATCTCTGACATGTAGGGGATCTAAGAACATAAGCTGACTGTTTTTAAAGGGCTTAGCATCAAATTATTTCCTGAAATATAGATGTGTGAATGTTGAAACACATGATTTTTTTTTCAAGTCATCCCCCTCCTTAGACTTTAGAAGTCATCATGTGCTACATCAGAATGAGAGGGTTTTAAAATGAGCTGCCTGTCTTCCCCACTCTCTGGGTAACTAGATACATGTGTACTGCATAGGATAGATTGTCTTGGGGTTTTTAAAGAAAAAAAAAAGTCTGAGAAACAAGAAACTGCAGCTGAGACTGGAATGTGGCACCTTATAAATAAGGCAGGGGACAAGATGCACTCTGATGGCTGAATACAGTAAGGTTATTCAGCTCTAAGCCTGCCTAATCACTGAAGTCAAATGTAATGGATTTACTGGTGTGATCAAGGCCCGAGGGAGGGAATTTTCCCCTTTTGCACAAATGGCACCATACGTGGGCCAGGAAATTCCTTGGCTGAGGTAGGGGGTGTTTCTCCAGAGGACATGAACAGGGGATGAGAAAATACCACTTTCTGTGGGCACCATCGTGGGCAGTGGAACTGGAAACACACTGGGGAGGGAAAGCCCCTGAGCTCTGGCACCTGCAGAGGATCTAGGGTAGGCAGTCCAGAGAAGGGTGGTGCCATGGCATAACTTGGGGTGCAAGTAGACATGGTCGCTTTGACTGGTTAGCTTTGAACACTGGGTAATTCTCTCAAGCCTGCTTTTACACAGAAGTGAGAAACTGCCCAAGTACTTGGTTTTGGGCAGTCCAAGCCAAGTGCTGAGGTGCTGCAGTCTGTCTCTAATGGTAACTCCTTAGCAAATGCTGAGACATCCCAACTCCTCTATATATTCTGTTCACCTCAACAGCTGGGTGCAGGGTTGCGTTACAGCTCCCCTTGAGGCATTTCCACAGTGCAGTCATGAGCTGCTTTCTGCCCTTACAAAAAAAGTTAACACATTGAAGCTCAAGACACATCCTCCACATAAAATTCCGGTCTTCATCAATATGCTAGCAAGTAAACTTTAGCACATTACTGAGTTGCCATTGCAATCAACAGATTTTGGCAGGCAGATCATGGAATTTAATGCTGTAGCAATCCACTACTAAGTAAAATAGTTGTTAAGAAAGCAAAATGAGGAGTACCACAGTAAACACTGTAATACTGTGTCCTATAGCTTCACATACATACAGAAAGACATAGGAATATAAGCTGTTTCTAGGACTGCTGAAATGACTGAAGATATTCACATTTCATGCTTTAGATTAATTAGGAAGCTAATAATCTAATGTCACTTTAGCTCAGATTCAGTGAGGAAAATAGAGGAAACAATGTCTGATGAATGGAAAAGAATAGACAAAATGGAGATCAAAATGTTACTTTAGCAAGCTTAAAAACAAGTATTATGAAACACTTCTCCATGGAAGTCAGTTTGGTGCACAAGAAGCAAAAAGTGGGGGAAGGAAAATGACAGACCTCAAATGGATCAGCAAAAGAAACTGCTTCTTTCTTGGAGTGCATGAAGTGCAAGAACAGAATTTCCTTGGAGTACTTTCAAAGCACCCGAATATCCAGCATGTCCATACATTTCTTGAGTACCAGTAACCTCCTGGAAATCTTAAGACTACCAATGTATGTTGCCCAATTTATAGTCCAGAGTCAGATCATCTCAACATGCTTTTGTCGTCCTGGAAGGGTCAACACATGAGCATACCCCACAGGAGGTATCTGGGATGACTGAAAGGAAAATAGCCACTTCTAGATAAAGTTTTGTGTTAGAAACTTTCATTACCATGCACATCACTGTCACAGAAAAGACAAATTAAAAAATGAGCCAAGGAGGTCATCAAATACTACTGAAACAAACCTCCCACAGCCACATCACCAGAAAAATCATGGGCCCCATCTATTCTTACACAGCAGCACTAGCTTGGCAAATACAGCTGGGAAGATCAATGGCAAAAAGACCCATCAATTTTGTACTATTTTCTTTGTCTATGACTCTTCTGCACGACAGTCCTCTTGTAGCAGGGGATATCTCATGTAGTCTGAATCCAGGCTATAGCACCATGAGTTGAGACTGAGAAATTCTACTGCTGCTGGGGAAAAGCAAGAGTGACAGGTGTCAGTAAAAACACCTACAGACATCTTGAAGTGCTAAAACACAGACAAGCAAGCCATCATGTGAAACGGTGAAAGAGTCACTGGAGTCTGAGGCCTGTTTTGTAACAGATAAAATTTGTCTTGAACCCCTGTTTTACATGAGTAAAACTCAACCTCACACCTCACAGTATTGAGAGATGCCCAGAAAAGTTGTGGATGCTCCACCCCTGGAAGTGTCCAAGGCCAGGTTGGATGGAGCTCTGGGCAACCTGTTTTAGTGGAAGGTGCCTCTGCCCATGTCAGGAGGGTAGAACTGGATGATCTTTCCTTCCAATCCAAGTCGATGATTCTGTTTCACATTAGTGAAAAATGTATGACATCATCATGCCTTGGATAACACATAGAAGATACCTCTACCATTAAAACATGAAATAATAAGAGTAACTGATGCTATTAAATTACAAAAGTAAGTTTATTTTATCAACATTATAAATATTTTCTTTCCCTCCGTTCAACTCCAAAATGAGATAGTAAAACCAGTACAATGGAACAATTCAGGAGCTCCTCAGCTCTACTAAAAAAGTTCCCCTTAATAACAAATTAAAATGGAAAATCACATTTTGTCAGTCCAGCAATGTCAGTAGCTGAGCATCCCTAGGTACTTTGTCATTCAAATGGCACAATTTTAAGTGTGTGTGTATATGTGTGTGTGCTTCTATATATATGTATACTGATGTTTATAAATCTACATATATATAGTAATACACACACACTTATAGACACGGCAACTGAACAGACACTTTTAGTAATCAAAATGCTTTACATATAATTTAAGTGGATTCCCAGCTGCACACTGAAATTTGGGCCCTGCACAGTGCAGGCACAACTACACTGGATAAATCTAGAGCCCAAGTGCTCCAGAGATTCGATACATAGGTCACCATTGACTGCTACAGAGTCTGCCTTCTTCTGGTGGCTGTCCAAAATTGAGAATCCCATCACACTTCAAAAATGGTAAGGAATAATCCTGTAGCATCCTGGTCCCAAACTGCCCTCAGTGAACCAACTTCTGATATTCCTTGCCATTGTAGAAAGCAATATACATGTTCTGTTACCTACAAATACAACACATCACAAGTATCTCGTGCATTATGTGTGCAGCACTTTGGGACAGCTTGAATACTAAAGGCACTACATACAGCCAGTTCCTGTCCTAACTCCAGTGCTGGGAGTGCTTTTATCGTTATCCAGTGCTTTTATCATTATCCAGTGCTTTTATCATATAGGTAACTGTCTTCAGCTGAGCACACGGCATGGGCAGCTTTCCAGAGGCACAATGGGCTCACTCTGATCACATCATCATACTCCAGCTTCCAGGGAAAAAGACAAGCCACAGTCTCTCATGTGCTCTGAGTTCCTCCGAGCAGCCCAAATGGCACAAAATTGCTCAAGAAACCTGCACATCCTGACAAGCTGCTCCAGAGCCAGCCACAGCCGCAACCACCTCCCAGGCACTAGGGACAGCCTGACAAGGGGAGGACCACTGGGGACAGAGAGGGACCAGACCCAGCTCCCTTATCATAATTCACATGTGGCCTCTGGAAGCTACCTGTGATTAAAGCAAGCCTTTACTGCTCCACCTGTTTCATGGGACTAAGGGACCAGGGAGCTGTCACAGGGTCAGTGACCACACTCTGCTCAGGCACCAGACTGGCCCCAGCACAGGACAGAGTTAAGCTCCTGGTGTCATTGAAGCTTAATCCGTTTCTCACATCAGTAAAACAAAGCAAAAAATTGATAGAAACATAATTCTTATTATCATCCAATATATAGAAATATTACAGTAATGTCTTTTCTCACTGCTGGGAAATGATGCAAGGCTTACCATGAAACCACAGCGTGAGAATGTTCCTTGTGGAAATTTCACATACCACACCAAAATTATATTCTGATTTTTTATTTTAACAGATGCCAAATTCTGTTCTAATATATACACATACTGACCTTCTCCACAAGCCCCTGGATGACTACCAAGAGAAGGAATTTGGCTTTCATATTTTATTTTTTAAACGAGAAAGACAGAAAATAAGACAAAATACATTTCATGTCACCATTGACCTATAGATTACAAATATATATATAGTTTCCTTCCAGAGGAAGAAATACTACGGAAATATTTTGCTCATATCAAATGAACCTTTGAAAACAGAAAAAAAATTAAAAGTATATTTTTCAGCTCCTCCCTCTCTACCATAACAATCACTTGTTTGAAAAAAAAAAAAAAAAGAAAAGAAAAAGAAAAAGAACATAAATACAATTAATTTCCTCCACCTCTAGTAAGGAAGAAAAACTTATCTGGATAATGACCTGAGTTATTTTCATGGTTTCCAAATGTATGTAATCCTGATGATCATCATCTACCAGAGAGCTACACCTAGCAAGGCATATAAAAGCAAACACTGGTGGATCCTTCAAAACAAACAACAAAGCAAAACTCAAAAATGTATTATAAGAATTATGCCAAAACTCAGTCATTAATGTCTTCATGGGAACTGGTCAGACAAAGTAGAAATGGAAGCTCTGTTATTTCTGGCAGCTGAGATATCTGCAGCAATTGGAAACCCAAAGGTGGAACATTTTGTTTATGCTTGTATGTATGTGTGTTTGCTTTCTCTTCCTTTATGGTTACAAGACAGAGAACAGACAAGTAGTGAAGACACAGCAGGCCTTTACAGTGGCTAAGCTTTACATTTTCGAGCCTATAGTGGGTAATGAGGCAAGGAGCTGCTGCTTGTCCTTCTCCAGTGGGACAGACTCCCTGAAACTTTGTTCCCTTGAAGAATCAGATAGTTTACAGGTTCAGTCAAAGAAGGTTTTTCTATTCCAGATGCGACTGGGCCAGTGCCCATTTGTTTGCTGGCAGCAGTAAGGCTGATTGCTGATGTTCTAGGCCTCCTTCCTATCTCTGGCTGTAATGCAAAGGGCACTAGGTCCATATATCTGTCCATCAGAACTCCCTCAGTATTGCACAAATCTATCTCCAGTGTAAAACCCATGTTTTCAAGAGTAAAGAACCACTATCAGCTTTTAGGAAGGCCTGAAACCTGAGCAGAACTGGATCAGTCACTACACACACACAAAAGTAATATGAGAAACCTTACTGGTAACTTTCTGCTCTGCCATTCGACACGGTATATCCCATATAACTCCTTCCCATACAAATTACTGTATCGTGAGGCTACCATAACCACATACCCAGCAACAATAAGGTTAGGTTTTGTCACTGTTGTAAATCTAATTGTGCCCCACACCCTAGGAAACAAGGTAACAGACAGCATCCTCTCCTAAAGCAAGGAAACTCCATGGTGACAGGGTACTGAGGATGCAGTTTTTGAGAGGATGGCAAGGGAGGGAGTGTAGCTGGTAAAAACACTGGACTTTTCCTAAGGGCATCCAGAGCTCCTCAAATATTTTGCTACTGCCTGACCATTTGTGAAGAAAACACAGAGATAACAGGTACTATTTAATTTATGAGAAGTGGGGGGAACAGGAGAATAAAAGGAACGCAGGAAATTGTAAAGATGGAGGAGGGCCTCACTGGGTGCTTTAATGTCCCAGTTAGTTTGGAGTTTTGTTCCCCCACACCCTCTTAAGTCTTTCCTTTTTTTTTTCCTTCCTTATTTTTTTAAAATAAATTGTATAGATGAACATGGGAGAAGTTCATGCTACTTGCTGGAAGCAATAATGGTAAATTTCCACGGCCCATGGATTCCACAGACCTTAAAGTGTCCCACCTCATCTATCATGGGCTAACTTAGGGAACCTAACCATTCCGTGGCAAGACTCAGTAGCCCTTAGAAACTGGTGGCATGTCCTCAGGTATTTTCCGCTAGAGTGAGAGACACGTTGATTCCATCAGCTTCTTTCTCACAAGACGCCTGAGTGCCTCAGGTGAAGCCTCGAGACTTCCAAGGATCCTCTTCGACATTTTCAGACATCAGACTGCTGTCTCTAGATCTTCGTGGGTAACCATTTGGTAGTTTTGTCGACTCTCCAGGTAGGAAGCCAGATCCGGATCACCAGCTTGCTGAGCCCTGTCACGAGGGGTCTTACCCTAGAATAAGAAACAGGAAGAGAAAATCTTGTGCTAATGTATTTAGAAGAACAGATGATTCCTGGGCAGAAGAAGATTAACAAGTCAGAAGCCACTTGTCTGGATTTCAGCTGTTTCAGAAAGCTTTTTCCAATGTACAGTACTGTCATCTGAAAAAGAGATCACAGAATCATAGAGGATATCTCTTCCACTTATGGGCTACCCTATACAGCATAGCATGGTGGGAATTGTTTTTGAATGTCTTGCTACAGCACAGATGCTTCTGATTCTAGAACCCAGAGAACCAACCCACTCTCAACTGCTGACCACAGGATGTTTATGCTCAGAAATTCCAGAGGCAGCTTCTGGACCATGTTCCTAAGCAATCAAATTGTTTCAATGACAGAATATTCCTCGGCTTTAATTTTGCCCAGACTTCTTTCTCAATCAAGCTTACACCAAGAGAGGGTTGTGGTTAGTGTCCCATCAGTGAGCACAGGGGCAAGCCAGGGCAAAAGCAAACAGATAGCCATCCTCACAAAGCAAGTCAGCCACAATAATCAAGCCTCACAGAAGCTATGCAATCTGAAATCAAGGCTCCTGCAGGTGGTCCTTGCCCACAGGCCTCTCTTTTGACCACACAGGAGGAGGATACTGCTGTGCCATGGAGATGTCTCATTCATACCCAATGCACCGAATAGTTTGAGGCCAGGCTCTCACTATGGTGATGATGACCCGTGTTGGGGACTGAACTGAAGTCTCTCGTACTTGTTTAAATCAATACAGTTTTCTATATAAAAATGGCTTGTTTAAAAAGAGCTGCTCTTGGTCCACACAAGGAAGCCTCAATCATGCAAACAGCAGGGATGGATGCTGATTGGTCTCGCTTGGCTGCAGTATTTTATAAGTGGTTGACGGAGCTGGGTTACCTTGGAGTCTGTCTTTCTCAGAGAGGCTCCCGCATCCACCAGGAGCTGGCAGACGGCGCGGTGGCGCTGGCAGGCTGCCTTATGTAATGCTGTCTCACCCCTAGACCAAAGTACAGAAACCAGCAGTGAGACACATCACACCAATGTACATTTACGAAGTATGAGGTGCAGAGGATAGACACAGAAGGATGCTGCATTTCTGCGAGGTTCCCTCTTGCTGGCAGAGGTAGGCTTGGGCACTCTCTCCCTTAGCATCTACATCCTTTGACTCAGTAGGAAACCCTGCAATGCACAAATAGCAGACGAAGAACTCTGAGGGGTGGGAAAGAAACATGCACAGATTTTAAGTATTCAAAGGACGGAACGTCACATTCCCATCCAAATGCCAGTTCTGCTAACTGCTGCAGAGGTAAACTAGCTCCCTTCTTACTTCACAGCAGGCAAAATAGCAACAGTGTTTGTTTCTTCCTGCAATTTGTTTCCTCAACCTCATTCTCTGACTCATCCTAGAAAAATCTTGCCCATCAAAGCTAAGACTGGTGCACTTGCTGCCCTGGTTCTGATACCCTGCTCTCTTGGGTGTATGAGAGCAAGAGCTGTGTTTTTGTTTTCTACTGCTGGACTGGTGAGCTACTAGGAAAGCCTGAACACAGGCTTTTCAAAAGAGAACACTGCGTAGTGGGAGCACATTTATTGCTGAGCCCCTCACTCAGACTAGAGCTACATGTAAGAGGATTCTGAGATTGACTATAGTGCTGAGAGTAAAGAAATCTATCTAGATTTGCCTAGGAAGAGGAGGAAAATATGCTTTGAGTGCATTGAAAAGGTGTCCTTAATACTAATATCCAACATGTAGGGCCATTACAAAATGACAAAAAATGCATGTAGTAGGACAAATCTTTCACCTACCTACTCAGAGAATGCACAAAGGAATTTAAGCCCCGGTCCATGACAGGGGAAGCTGAAATATTAATAGGCAGCCCTGCAAGAAATCTGCCCCTGCTGCAGGAGAACTGGAATCAGAATGGGATACTACCTGATTTCCCCCTGAGGATCAAAAGACAAATTCATACTGCCAGTTACAGCTTGAACCTTCCCTTTTCAAGAGTTAGCAGCAGAGGGACCTTTATAAAGGGAAGACCTTGTAGCCATGTTCACTATCACTTTGTTTCAGTGGTTGTGCTACGCTACTGGGTGAAAAGAAACATCCAGACACCATCACCTCTGGACTTCACACATGCACCTTGTGCACAAGGTGTTCTCTGTTAGCAGAGGAGGGTAGTGTGGGATGAGGAATGATAGGCTTAATACCTATGAGAAAGATGGCTTTTGCTTCCCATATATTCCATACACTTTCCAGGATTATTCCTGATTCCCTTGCAAACTTCAATTATACAACAAGATTTACAGCAGCTGGGAACTGGAAAGGAAAGTAATTTTTTTGTTTAGTTTTGGATTCGGGGAGTTGTTTTATATAAGAACAGAGGTGACTGATGATTTAACTACCTGATGGAAACCTTCAATTGCACAGGTTGTGGCCACCTGGGAGAACCAAGGCAGAGCACCCTGGATGAATCAAGAAGGGACTGAAGAAGAGGTGTAGAACAAGAAAAGTAATTTCCTGAGTTCTAGAATTTACTCTTAAGGTTGTTCCCTTAGTAGCTGGATGCCAGAAACATCAAAACACAATGTTGGACTTCAATTCCTCTAGAAAGATTAAGGAAGCATGGGAAGCAATAGAGAGGAAGTACTTTATGAAGTCCAAGAAACATTTATTCTAGACCAGGAAGCCACATATGATCTGGTTGATGTTTGTGTTTAGGGGGACTTCTGTCTGCTTGTTTGTTTTTGAAGAGCTGTGCCATTTTACAAGCTTTTTTGGTTTAAAAATTTGCACTTGAAAACCAAGGGAAGTCTGCTATTCTAACACACATAATGTGAGTAGGTTGTACTTACGTTTCACTGTCTGTCATGTCCAGTAATTCAGATGGACCTGCAAAAGACAGTCGGGTATGTCATATAGCATTTGTCTGCATGACTAGAAGACTATGTCTACCAGGAGAAGATTCCCAGTACAAATACGTAAAAGCAGCCAACTGAAAGCTCAACTTGCACAAGTATTTCACATTTCAATGTACTATTTGCTTGTGAGAGCTGTTGCACTAGCAAAATTCTGAATGCACAGTCACTGCTGGAGTGTCAGCACCAGGGAGTATTAGCCTCTAAATTATACTGAGAATGAATATTCATGGGGTTTATTTTCTCACTCTTCACCTTGCTCAATTAAGTGGTTCACATAAGCACAGTGCATTGAAAATGCTGACATATTGGAAACCCTGATATATTGCAAGTTAAAATCTATTGTTACTACTAGAGGGAAAATGTCATTAGGAAGTTGAAATTAGCCAAATTCCATCCTGAATGACATCCTTGTGCTACTCCGTTTAATAGCGTTATACAAAATGTAGATCAGGGTGGAATATTCCCAGCAGTCTTTATATTGATATGTAAATCCTGTACTCAACTGGTTAGCAATGATCGGGAAAGTAAGATTAAGAAAAACATAAAAAATTTTTTTTAAGTGGAAAAAAAATAACACATTTATGTTTATGTTCTTTTGTTCTTGATATTCAGTATAGGCAGATATTTATAGCAGCAAATTCCATCACTGAATTACAGTGATACAGAAAGACTAGGATCTGGATAGCATTTGAAACAAGAAAAACTTTTTCCTTTGCAGTCTATTGTATCATTCTTCTCTCCACTGTTCTGGAGTACAGTGCCAGATGGTTATGGGGCAGTTAGCAAGGGAAATAGGGAAACTTTACAGTATTTTTCCTTCCTATACACGAATATTTCCCTTCAGCACACTTTGAAATTCAAGAGTCCTCAAGAGCTTACAGCAAATCTCACCTGAAACTGAGGAATTTCACACTACTTGCTTACAAAGGCCTACACACAACCTCCCTACACTCCTTTCACTCTGAGTGTGTGTCAAAACGTATCAGTGCAGCCGGTCTTCACCTCACTGCTTTTACAATGTTCACATGCTGTATCACTGGGGCCTCCTGGAGCTGCAGGTAACTCCTTCACTTCTGTCATAATGGGAAAGGGGTGGTGGTTTAGTCCCCAGTACAGAGGGCATTGTATACCATTGCATATCCATCTTGACAGTTCTCCAAGCTCATTAGCCACTGTTGATTTTTAATGCAAAGCACCCTTACTGTGCCACCACACAGCTCATCTCCACACTTGGTGGTTATGTGTTCCCTCCTGCCTATCAAAAAGAAGAATCACTCACGACCGCTAAGCTCCCATAAGCGTGAAGAAGGGTAGAAGGGGCTAAGCAGGGCCTCTCATGGAGAGGAAAGAAAGGTAATGCCTGAGAAACGAAAAAGAATATTTAAAAAGCACATATGAAGAAAAGGACTCCTTTCCCATGCAAAAATCATGTTCTCTCAAAAATAGAGGTAATTCCCCTTTGCTTTATGCAATGACACATCCAGTGATAGGTAAGCAGGAATGGATTGCAGTGAGTTAGAAAAGACACACTGTCAATATTATTTCTGTTCATGGGTGGAGCAAGGAAGGTTGTGTTGCTAAGGTGGAACAGGGTGACTGGGCTGGCTGCATGGGCCATAGAGGTACCTGCTCAGAAAAGAGGAAAAAGGTGTTACAAGGTTAGGAGGAAGGATGGAGAGAAGTTAGAAGAATATGACTTGAGAGGGAGAAGAAGCTTGGGCAGAGTGGGCCTGGAGAGATAGGAAGCCAAGGGTAAAGGAAAACTGGTCTGGAGCAGGAAGAAGCAACAGGGCTGAGACAGAGATGCTGAGTGCTGAGGACTGAGAGGGCAGCCTGTGAGTAGAGACCTGAGGAGATGACAGGTACATTCTGCCTAAGTGGAAAGGATGTTCTCCTGTATACTGTCTCAAATTAAGCATTTCATGGGAGAGCCCTGACTCCACCTGAGTTATGCATAAGGGCCAGATACTGAGATTAATCAATAAGGGCCAGATACTGAGATTAATCAATTAGCTGCACAACAGGATAGCAGGATTCATTAATTTCATTCTCTCTGGCCTATCTCTGAAGCTGGAATGACCCAACTCACACACAGCCTGGGCTGTGGCCTTTACTTCTTCATTTTATTTTCACTTGTGCTTCTCTTAAACCATCTCACGCCCTCCTCTTAAATCCCTTTCCCCTCTCTTTTGGACCTCATTTTTATATCAGTCTCCCTGGCGCTGCCAACCGACCATTCCAAATCCCCCTCTGCCCCGGGACAAAAGCTGCACAGATGTGGGAAGGGCTGGCACTGGGAAAGCTAAGGCACTGTCATCCTGACCCAGCAGGGAGGCGGCTGTTTTACTGGGACAAGAGGCAGAGAAAGAAAAGGGGACCAAGGCTCAGAGAGAGAGAGGACAAAATAACCCAATAGAAATCCGGAAGGGAAATGCATGAGTGAGATTTCTATCAAGGAAAACAGCAGGGGGGGAAATAAAAACAAAAGATAGAAATGTGTGGAGAGGTGGAGGGAGGAAAAAAAGAGAGAGAGAAAGAGAGACTGGGGGGCTGAAGAATGGCAGGATGGGGACGGGGGGCTGGGGGGGGAGAAGTTCACATGAAAGGAGCTGAAAAGCATGACACACCAAGGGGAAGCTCAGCTGAGATCATTCTCTTTCCTTACCATTGCCCCTAGATGGTCTGTGTAGAATTATTAACCTTTTTCCTTCTCTCCTTTTGCCCTCTTTCACTCCACGAAAGCCCTTTACCAGTTTCTCAGGAGGCAAAGCATCCTGAGCTGGGGATGGGAGGAGGGAAGGGAAGGAAACGTTCAAAAGAAGCTGCCCTTTCACTGAGCTCACTACAACAACAAAAAAGAGAGTCTAAATGGCCATATTTTAGAGGCATTTCCGAAATATTCAGAACCTCATATTCTGAAAGGCCTCTGGGCTCCCAGCATACCCCTCTCTGATGGTTGTGGTTACAGCTTCCCAAAGGAAACCCACAGGTACTAACCCTTACCAGTCCCTTGTCCTGTCAGTCCTTCACAGATCTGCGGAAGAAGGGTATTTACTTTAAGTAGTAATTCCAGACGTTATCAGCATTTCTGTGTGTTTATCTGTCAAAACCCTCTTTATCTAATAACTTGACTGAGGCTGTTATGTGGGGGAAAACACTGGATTTGGTTCCTTACCCTCAAAGTGGGAATATTTTTAAAATAACAGTAATCTGGAAATTCAGAACTACTTCAAGCCTTTCCCCAACTCCACATTCTTCTCTTTTACCTGATGTGAAAATTAGGTGTCTGTTTTTTTCTGCCAGTGTCTCTTAGCTCAGAATTTCCACTGTAACATAGAGGATAGTCAGGTTATGGGAGCATTCCTTCCACCCTAACTCTCTCTCTGCCTTGTTGCCCTAAAATATGGTAAACTTGCAAATGAAATCAGACTATTTTATACCTTGTGCCCTCTAGAAAGACTAACTTTTTTCTGCTTAGGCCCCTCACAAATGACAACTACCCTAAAACACTCTACAAATCTAGACATACTAACAAATGTCATACAAACTCACTCTCATTCAGTGTTGCTTTCTGATGACTATTCAAGCTTTGTCCCCAACATACATCTCTGTCATGGTAAAATCTGCTTTCCAAAAGCCACCTTAGGAACTCCTAAATCTGGTCAGGATGCAAATCTGAACTCACTGATGACTCTTAACTCTGGACTTTGTAGTGCTAAGATTAACAAAATCATCATCTTTTTTTACCAGAGGATGATTTCTAATGGAACAAGGACATTGAGGTTTGAGCACATAAAAATGTTTAGGACAAGATGCTCTACACACTGACTGTTGCATCAGAAGTTCCCACCACAAACTCCTAAGGCAACTGTAAACATCTGCCCTCTCTTCTGTTTAAAATTAAAATAACCCAGATGAATTATAGAATTCTTGTTTGTCTTTTGAACTTCTAGAAAAGAGGAGAAGACAAGGACAAGGCAAATGGAATTACTCATATAATGTTTAGAAATTATAAATTTTTCACAACTGTCAGATAAAGACTGCAAGCCAAGTACAAATACAGATGATGATTTAGGAGGCCCCTTCTCTAATGGAATGTCTTAAGCCTTCCTCAATTCTGTTTGTGCTAAGCAAGTAAGCAGTTAGCTCTTCTCTAATGTGTATGCACTAGGATGTGCTGCAGTTGCTGACTGCAGCAATAAGCAGCTATGGTTCTAATACCTACCAAGTTTGGCCCTCTGTTTCTAGCTAAGCATTTCTTAGCTCAGCTACAGACGAGTCTTTAAGGCTGACCCTCCTACTAAAAGCAAAAGACTCCTGATTCAGGAAGTCAATCTTGAACAACTGATAGTCTGCATATCTGCCCTTCCTGCACAGGGAATAGAGAGAAATTGTTTTGCTGGGGCAACAGCCAACACAACTCTTACTGCAGCAATAAGCAGCTGTCGTCCTGACACCTACTACATTGGTGCTTCAGCTGCTATTCCAGGCTTGTGCTGGTCCACTGCTAAGTATCTGGCAATACTGCACAGCAGTCTCCTTCTGTGACTCATCTCTGCTATTTCTAATTTAAGATAGGCTATTTTCCTCCCTTAACATCTGAAATCATTCTGATCGTGATCACAGAATAACCTTTCATATTAATGTACCCTGCATGTTTGTAGAAAGCAGAAAGCCATCTCCACAAAGGACAGCCTCAGCATCATTATACCATTTTCCTCCTCCATAATCCTAGTTCTATGGGTCCCACTCCTGTATCGCGTTTGATTCACCCCACCATTTTCAAACTAGGCAGTTAAAATTCCTCATGCAGGGGTTTTTGCCTTGTTTTGTTGCTGCTGTTTTTTTAGAGATATTCAGAAGATTTTTTTCCCTGTGTGGTTAATAACATATTTTCTGTGCTGTGTGCTTGAGGGTATTTTACAGTGCAACTCCTATTAACATTAACTATCTCCAGCCGGGTATGGGAAGCAGACACACTACAGAGGAAGTGCAGCTGGGCAGAGGCAATTGCCAGAACAGGAGTAAGGCTTATTTTTATGAAGGGTGGATATCGGCAGAAATGAGAAGCTAGATACAGGGAAAGCCTCAGATATGAGTAGTGTTGGATCAGGTCGTGCACAGTAATTAATGTTGAGAAGATGCCAGGTGCCAGAGAATGCAAAGAAAACAAGGACATTATGATGATGATGATTCAGCAAGAGTGCTCATTTGTGACTGGGAAGTGCCCAGGGTAGAAATGAATTTCATTAATTGCTTGGTGGGAGAAGAGAGGAGGCCTCTATTAGGGCATTGTCCCATGCACCCTCTGATCCCTGGAGAATGTTAAACAAACAATGCATTTGGAGAAGCCCAGAGGACATATGTCTGGAAAGCTGCAAAAGCTTCCTGCCATCCTTGGGGATAAAAGGGGGAGAGAAGAACTGAGTTGACATTTGCTCAGCCTTCTGATTTGTCTTTGTCTAACAGTCCGTAATCCCTCACATTTCTCTATTTACTTCAAAAATTCCCAAGGATTCCCTGCTTACATCCTTACCAGCTAAATGATCTCATTTTAAACCTCCACCAAAAGAACAGTAACTGAGTCAGACTTTGACTAAGTTAAGGTATATGTGTCTAAGAAAAATCCTGGAGGGGTATCTATGACAGTGAACTGGCATAGGTCATGTGCAGGGTGAAAAGAGACCAGGGCCAGTAAGAAAATAAAGCAAAATTATGCTTGCCTACAGAATTCAGTGGCATATATATGCACTGTGACTAATGAGATAATCCAGAGCAGTTAAATAGGAGGTAGAGTTAGCACTGGTAAGGCTTGTTAGAACTGATGAGAAAATTAGCCATTGTTTGGATACAAGGCCAACCGCACATAAAAGAGTAAAAGAGCAATTCAGCCCCCTCAGTCAGATATTTGAGGCACAATTCAGTTGCTCACACACAGATATTTTGTGCAATTTGATATACCTATGGTCAAGCCTTGTGATGCATTTGGAATGACAGGGATGCCTGCTTGGGCTTCGGCTGCCAGTCCAGCTTGGTCCTCCTCTAGGCCTCATGTGACATCTTGTAGACTCATGCAAATGCCCTGGATATCCAAGGGCAAATGATATGAGACATTTATGTTTATCTAAATAAATAAGGTGCACAGGTAACTGTCACCTGAATCACTTGCTGGACTCCAATGACTGCCTCGACCGGGATCTCTCTTGAGTTAGTCATGCAAGAAGTCTGCTAATAAGGATTTCCTCCTCACTTCCATCTGCCACTGAAGGAGGACAAGTTTCCTCTAGTACCTTTGTCATACAAGAGCAAATGAACTGAGTCACAGATTCCTGTTGGCAGTACAGGAACTTGGACCTATAGACTACCTGACACCTCTATGTAAACACCTAACCTAGGAGACAAGCTGGAACAGATGGATTGTTACTTTTTCCTTTCTTATGAATTGTGCTTTTTTTGTCTCTCTGTACAATTTCTGCAATGGCCTTCGAGCATTAGCTAACACTTATTCCAACTGCCAGAGGCAGTCTCTGTGTTCAGTGCTAACACTGCTGCTGAAACAATGTAGTTGATTTTGACATTTGGAAGCCAAAATAGCCAGTGATATATTGAAGTGGAGTCAGAGACGAGTTACAAGAATGTTTAAAGAACTAGAAAACTTTTCCTACGGTGCAGGAGGCTGATAACTGTGGCTTTAGCTTTATGTGCAGAGCTATGTCTGTGTTACTGTGGAACTCTCCAGCAAAAGGGGAACAAGATTACTGTAGTTCAACAGGCAGAAACTCCTAAACGTGACTGCCTCAGACACAAACAAATTGCTGCATAGCCTGTGTAAGGATGCCTGCAATCCCTGATACTGACAAAGATAAGAAGAGCCGAAACGGAAAAAGGGCAATGACATGATCACAGCCTATGAATATAAAATGGAGACCAGAAATTTTTGCTATTGGTTCATCTTGAATCAATCAGAGACATAATATTGTAAGGTTGTAATGAAAGCTAGGTGAATTCAATTCAGAAATAAGTAAACAGATTCTTGATCAGTGTGTTACTAAATACCGAAATAATAACAATAGCTATATGGCCTCTCCAGCCCTGTAAATGTTTTGATAGAGATTAGATGCTTTCTACAACATATGCTTTAATTGAAAAACAGCTCAGAGGATTGCTGTGACAGAGGTTCTAACTAGAGCATCACACTGCTTCTTCACAGTCCCCCAGCTGATGCAACTGTGAAAACAACATCCTCTTCAAAAGCCATTCTAATTTTTGTTTTCACACTTTATCTGGAGCCATTACTGTCATTGCTGCCACATTCCCAGCCTCCTGCTCATACACGCTGGACATTTTGCTGAGGGAGGCTACAGATGAGTGAGGGCACTTCCAGTTGCATGGTATGGTTTTACCTGACTGACACTTGGCTGAATTACAAGCTCTCTGTGGAGTTGACTACTGTGACTCACCATGTTCCAGGATGTATTTCACAATCTCGCCATTCCCAGTCTTGGCAGCATGGTGCAACAAGGAGCAGCGATCAGGTCCTTGGATTAACAAATTGGCTCCTTTTTTACAGCATTCTATGAACTGGGAAGAAGGAAAAAAAGAGAGAGAGAGAGAAACCACACAAAGGGATAAGTTGGGAGCAAAACAAATATGCAGGTAAATTTCTTTACTGGTTTTCATAGGAGGTCAGTACAAAAAATGGAATAAAATAAAATATTAGTTTTAAGCCAGTTTTTAGGTTCCAGTGTAAAACAACTGAAACTAGAAGTATTGACAATTATATGGGTTAAGAAGAATAGTCTGTATTTCCTAAAATTTGAAACATTGCTACTCTATTGTTGATGAATTATTGCTTGCTATCAGTGCTTGCAATCATACGGTGAAAATGTTGGGATATTTTAAAATGTATGTACTTGATAGAAAATTCTGGCTTCTCTACTGAAGATACCAATTTTTCCTCAGCATAGTAGCCGAACATTTTCTGACAAAATCAGAAAACTCCAACTCAAAAATCCAGAGGAAGGTGAGGTAACCATCCCAGATCTCCATTCTCACTCTCTGCCCAGTGTTCAGGGTTGGCAGAGGGGGAAGCACTATGTGGGGTAAGAATGAGAGCGAAACAGCAATCAGCCAGGTCTCAGAAGTGCTGCAGACTTTGGGGGAGGAGCGGGGGTGGGATTTGTAGTGCAAATAACTGCAGAAAAGGGAGAGAACTGCAACAGTGAGGCATTAATTATGATGCAGGACATCTGACGAAAGGCAAGAAGTTTCCCTGTCAAAGCCAACTCAAGCAAAAACTTTTCAAGAAGTGGGAAGGAGGCAATATTTTTATGACTGCTGGTTGAAGAACTGCTCTCTAGATGCTGCAGCCATAAGGTCTGGGGCAGTGGTGTAGAAGGGGCACATGCAGGCAAAAAGTTGGCCTAACGGCACTGTCATTTTTATAAATGGCTCCAAGCTGGCTTCTCATAGATAAAATTGCAATCATTAATCACAGTCCTCATCCAAATTCGAGGGTATGTTTTCAAATCCTGACTTGGCTACTGAAACATGCAGCCTGATTAGCTGTCTGACATGGGACCTCAGTCTTAGGGAAAAAAACATTTTTGCATGAGTACTTTTTCTCCCAAAACCAACTATACCAAGACACTATGTATTTTGAGAAATCCATCAGATGACAAAACAACCAGATGAGGTTTGTTCTATCTGATCTGGTGGTTGCCTAGGTAGACATTAAATGATCTATCAACTCGAGGGCTTGGCCACCAACCTCACTGGTGTAAAATATCCCTTACTACGTAAGGCTGTGTCAGAACTACCCTGCTGTTCAACATAGTAATTTCCCTGTTAGTAACTGGCACAGTGCTTCATGCAGTGGCTATGAATCCTGAGCTGAAAGGTGCTGTCTAACACCAGATCCTATTCACTCAAATTTCACACCTCACCTGACTGATGTGTTCCCCTAGTATTCAGGGTTTCCTGGAAAGGTTGTAAAATGGCACTTGCCAGCAGTCCCCATAGCAGTCTATTTATATTTTGAGCAGAGGTGTGATAAAATTTACAGTATATCAGACCAGCAAAAACTGAGAATAAGTGGACACTCAGTGCTCTGTACTTACCTTCAGTAGATCACCAGATATGACTGCCTGTAAAAGTGCTGCAAAGACAAATAGAAAACTAATGTCAGACAGAATGCATTATGCATATAGGCTCCCAGCTGAGAACACAGCTCACAGTATGTGTAGGTTAAGAGTGATACCTCAGTCCACTTGCATTCTCATGTACTACCAAACCAATGTAAAACCTCCACTAACACTTATTGGAAAGACAGAAGACTGCCCATGTGACATGAAAGTTGTATGGACATCAAGCCAGCATTTCCAATGCTGTCCTGAAATTGCATGCTTCTATCTAAACTTTTCCCTTGAGACACTTCTGCCCCTTTCAACAGTGTCCACAGGGCTGGCCAAGTCTCTGGCACTTGAGCCATCACTGAAGATATCAATGATATCCACACAGAGAACCCGAAAGTAGCTTCAGACCTGTCAGACTCTATCATACTGGTGGTGGAATAGTCAGTCGGTCTCCAATACACTGAGAATCCCAAGTTGCAGATGACTAAGAGAAATTTCTTAATAATTATTTGTATTACAAAAACATTTTGAGATGCCAGCGGGGAGCAAGTCCCCTGGGTTTGGCAGACAGGGTCAAACGCAGAGCAAGAGCCAGTCTTCACCTTTTCAGCCTTGTATTTTAAACAGACACAGAAGGAGAAAGAGACAAAATGGACAAAGGCTCAAAACAAGGTAGGACAGACCCTACTACCCACTACTGTCTGGCCCTGAGCCAGCTAGAAAGAAGAAGGAAGGCAAAAGCCTGGGACTCTGTATTGCCCTGAGAGGCTGTTACAAGCCTAACATTGTGTAGCTATCTCCTTCTTTTTTTCCTCCTTCTATCATGATATATATTGCAGAAAAACAATTATGAATATTCTTTCTGAGAAAGCACTTACATGGTTTGCATCTTAGAAAGCATTAAACATCTGCCTCAGTTCATGCTTTTTCAAGTATGTCTAAGCCCATTTCTATCTTTGAGTCTAGGCAATGCAATCAAATTAAGCATTTGTTCAAGTGCCATCCTTGATAAAGATGCCAAAAGTTCATGTAGGGAGGAACAAGAGGGAAAGAAAACCGTACTATAGCTTTGCCTCTGAAAAATAACACAGAGGAAACTGCACAGTGTGAATTCCATGAGGAGCTTGTTACGCCTTCAGAAATTACAACACATCCAAGCTAAACACTACAGAAGAGGAAGGATGTTCAAAGACAACTCAACAGAAATGCTTTTCTTTGAAAACACGTGAGCTTATATGGTTTTCTGGTCTCAGTAATGCCTCATGCCCTGGCTACGCAGCAGTGGGAAAAGCAAAAACCTAGTCCAGCTAAGTTGTGACTTAGGAAAGCAGTAGCAGCAATTCTTGCAACATTTGATTTAGGGTAGTTTTTCAGTGATCATATGTCCTACAAATCCCCAGGCATCTGTGGGAATGAGGACACACAGATTTTAAGAATGAAAAACAGGAAACACCAGCAAGTAAGAGCTAGAAAATACACGTACATCTTTTCTTCAGTTTGCATTTTCAGTGGTTTACATCCTGCTTTTTTCCTCAATAGTTCTAATACTGGCTCAGTCCAAACTAATAGCAGAGCAGAATTTAACCCTTGTCATTTGTTTGGGTTTTTTTCCCATCAATCTGGTCTTACTGCCACCTTTATTTTGCAGGCTACCGCAGTCTGGACTTGTATAAATATTTTGCTCTCCTCACACATGTGAAAATCAAATGATCTGGTGATACCAGTTATTTATTTCCTTCTACATCCAATTTTTGAAGACATGTATTCCCTGAAGTCACTTCCTAAGAGGCAGGGATATATTTTCCTATGCAAGCCATGCTTAAGATTATAGCTCAAAAAAGCCAGGAGAGAAATCTATGATTCTTCAAAAAGAAAAGCCTGTTGAGATGTGAAAAACCTTCTATGTTGAATATCCATAACCAGAAGTTGGTCTGGTGATAAGGCTATTAGGATAAAGCAGCTCTAAAACACATTCAACATAATTAGACCAATCTTTTCCTCTCTTCCCTAAGCCTCAAATCCAGCAAAGCATTTAGGCAGGTGCTTAGCTTTGAGCTAATTACATTCTTTTCATACCAAGTCTACCTGCACTGTTAAAATTAAGTGCTTTGCTGGAGAAGAATCTATTGCATAAATGAATATATTACAGATCAACAAAACCAGCTGGTATAACAAGAGATTAGACCACACTAAAATAATTCAGTGCTGTAAGCCAAAATGCAGGAAGACGTAGAAGTTTTTGAGTTAGAAATGGAGAAAAGTTCTTTAGAATAGGGAACATGCTTAAATAAACATATGACTATTGCTTAGCACACTAACCCTATAAACTGAAATGGGATTGCTGGGCATATGGAGGAGGAGGGTGAAGATGGCAAAAATCACCTGGTTGTTAAAGAGGTGGTGAAGCAAGCAAGCAGATGGCATTGACAAGAGAGAGCAGACTGAGAAATTGGAGAAAAATGCTGTTAACATGCAACGCCAAGCTAGCTTAAAAATAAAAACATTAAAGTGAGAATTGTTTTATTTCTTCTAAGCAAACTGCACCACTGGTGTAATAAATAAAATTAATTATGCCATTGTTTTATCACATGTAAAATACCTTCTGATCTTAAAGATATCTCAAAAATTGCCTGATTTAATAAATATTTTAATCAAGTCATTATTTTCTCAGCTTCTCCTGAAACAATCATTGGTCATGACTAATAAAAACGTTTTATTACCTTTTATGTTTATTTAGCAAGCAGATTTATTGTTGATGAAAGGTGACTGAAGTGCTCTGTCCATGTAACGAGGAAACGCTCAGTCTGCAGTGGTGCTGCACTCCCCAGGCTGCCTTCTCAGCAAAGCTCAACCCTCTCTGCTGGTACAGCCCCTACTCCATCACTGACCTTTCTGCTGAAACTGCCAGCAAATGTGTCAATCACTGCCCAGGTTGATGGATCTTGACAGAAACAATTACCTGCTAGGATATGGACAGCCAGAAATGCAGGTGATCTATGTAACAGCAGCTTCTGGTTTCCACTGGGTGACTTTTGAGATGAGATTCTAACTACCCCTGTGGGCCAACTTACAAAAGAATCCTCATTAAAAAAACCCAACCAACTAAAAAAAACCCCTAAACAAACAAAAAGGAAAAAAACCCCACCAAAAATCCCCCCACCGAACACAAATAAATAAAAACCAAAACACCATAAAAACACCAACCTCAAAACCAACTCTCTCACACACACACTTGACTTATAAATTAAATATTGAACAGACACAAGTGGATAATGCACTAACAGAAAAAAAAGTCCTGCCAAAAAGGCTGCTAATTGAATTCTGGTAATGCTGCAAGCTAGTGCAGCTCGAGTCAAGGGATAAACAACTCCTAGTACACTCACACATGCTGAAAACAACACTGCTCCTATGGCATGTGCCACTCATCTAATTTCTATGTTAGTGCCCATTACTTCCACTGGAAACAGCTATTTTTATTTCATATTTTAAAAATATAAGTTAATGTCACCGAGTTACAACAAACATTTTTGTTTCCCAGACATAAAATTAACTTATGAAATATCCATTGCCCTCTGGTTCTGCTTATGAAGCCAGCGTCACTAAACCAGTGCTGCAAAATCAGTCACAAAACACTGGCACACAGATAACAAAGGAGTGAGGTATTTGTACCCAGTAACTCCAGAGGCTGCAAGAAGTCTAAGAGGTCTCAGAGGGCTCCTTGGATGCTCAGAAGAGAAAGTACCTCTCCATAGAAAGTAACCTGGTGACTGCTGCAACAGTTCATGTTATGCATCTCCCTCCACAGACTACAGAATCTCCAGAGAAAATGACCTCCAACTTTTCTAAATAAGGAGTCAAACTAAGACAGAGGGGATCTTTCAGAATGGCATGATTCCAGGGGACATGACTGATCACCTTCAAGAAGGATATCAGAACAAGAGGAAAATAGCAAGTCCCCCTTTTAAGGGTTTTCAAGATATGACACTGCTGCCACCAGGCAATGCTCTTGGTCTCAGAAATGTTGTGAGTTCTTTGTATACCATATAGGTGCAGCATGAGAATGACTCATAAATGTAAGGGCTAACAAAGACAGACCCATGACTGCAACACATCAAAACAATACGGCAGGAGGGGGCAGAAGTCACCAACTCCACCTCACTCACTTCAAAAGCCATGAAAATTCTCAGAAGCATCACAAGTAAGGAAAACCTCAAACTACCTCTTCCTATCTGCCCTGCAGAAAAACTTTCTCCTAATCCCAAAGCTCCTGATCATCTCAACACCAAGGAAAGAAGCAGAGCTCATCGCCAGGTTACCATTACACTAGAACTTTGCTGCTAAAACACTTTCAGAAAGAATATGAAGAAAAAAACTATTATAAACCCCCGTAAGTAACATCTCAGAATCTCAAGGTTCTTTGTGTAAAGTAGGTTGACATGGAAGATATTTACGAAGTTAGTTTTATAATCATTAGTGAGTCAGTAAGAGGAGTTGGTCTGCACTGGAAAGAATCTCAAAGAGCAGGACAGTTCTAGTCTGACATCATCAGCAGTACAGGAGTAATGTGCCTTTTTAGATGAGTAAAAGTTATTCATAAATCATAAATATCTTCCAGATTTTATTAGTCAGATTGCACACCTTATCTGGCCCCTTCAGAGCCATATTTGAACCCACTACTGCTGTACCAACTAAGCCACATAGAGTGCTAATAAAAAAGTGAATAAAAATAAAGTGAAGGTCTAAAAATTGTGACTGGAGGGAGCAGAATTACATAAAACTATGTTATAAAGTATAAGTACCACACAAAGGAGTTGTCACATCCATGGCTGATTAAAATGCAGCCTATTTTGGATCTATGAATGAAATGCAGTCTGGGAGCAAAGTATTATTTGTAACAATACATCTTACCATGAGTTAAAAAATATCAGGCTCACAATGCATCTAATCAGAGTATGACAGTGTTTAACCACATGGGAAATTATGGCAGAATTCAACTACCATAACTCAACACTGGTTGGAGGGG